ACAGAGCAATGCAAGGAAGAAACGTAGTCGGGGTGGACACGATAAAGGGAACTTTCAATCCTGAGCATCCACCCAGAGCTGTACGTCTGCTCTTCCTTAAACTCTTGACTTTTATTTTGAAAGATGACAGGAAATCTTTTCCTTTCAGCTGCGTGAAGTTCAGACGAGGTTGGAGTAAAACAGTTTTCAGGGCAGTGCTCTTTGTCTAAACAAAGCGGGGCAGTGTCAGAAACGCTCCAAAGCCCCCCATCGGCCAACACCTGAATGCATCACGGTGGAGGGAGTGAAAGCGGGAGCGTCGGGCTTTTTATCCAAACACATTCACATCCATGACCGAGCTCATAAAAACCTGTTCTGGGATCTTTTGATTCACTAATCAATAACTGACCACTTCATATTTTCCTTGAAGTTAAATTTAAAATTCAAATTTTCTTGAACCGCTGCACACATCGTGCCAAGTCAACATAAACAAATGGACCAATCAGAGCTCAGTGTGCCCGTCCTCATCAAAATCAAACACACAGTCGTGTTAATAACAGACAAAGTGAGCGCATGCTGTGGCGTTTTAACCCGTTAAATCCTGATCACGCAGAGCTCCAACACGCCTGCACGGGGCAGGTCGCGGTCGGCTCGTCGTTCAGCTTCAGTCCTGTTCAGACCGGATCAGAGTTACACAACTCGGCTGTTAGTGTCTCAATAAATCATTTAAATCTCCCCGTGTCTGCGGGGGCGTCGCACAGAAAGTACATCATGCAATATTTCTTGTAACGCCGCAAAACCCCAAATCTTGTGATCAGACCCTGAACGCAGCACAGAGAGACTGAGCTGCGATCAGTTTTTTATGAAGTTATTGGTGGACTTCACAGTCCTGCTGATCGCTTTTTAAAACCAGCAGCTTTCAGACCAACCTCATGTCTGAAACTCCCCACAGTCAGAGTTACACCCCCACCTGTGCTCACGCTTTGACCTTTCCTGCCCCGGGTTGTGTCTCACAGGCTGCAGACTGTATATAAAGGATAGCTGTAGCTACCAGGACGTCACTCGCTGTAAAATTCAAATAAAATTCCAGAATTTCAGTCGTCAAAACTGGAGCTCAGACTTCTTAGACGGAGGAAATGATCTCTAACAGTGTTTTTTTTACCAGGCTGTTTATTTCTACTGTAAAGCTGTTCGTTTTAACATACAAGTCTGTGGGGACTGGCAACACCTTCTCACTCCCAAAGCGT